GTTGATTTTAGCCCATTGGGAAGCCCATTCAGTGATCTAAAAGTTGGGTTAGGCGGTGGCACTGCTAGACCAGGCGGTAGAACTGCTAGAGGCTTAGTCTCTAAGAGCCCGGTCTCCGAGGCTATTAAGCGGTGGTACCGCCAGACTAGGTAGTGATACCACCTAGTGTCAGACGGTGGTACCATCCAGTGCCAGTTTGCAAGCACTGGTACCACCCAGTACTGGTAGTGGTACCACTAGTACCTCAGAAACCCGGGATGAGATCCTTTTTGACTCCAAATTTGAATTCATTTAGGGTCTATAAATACTCCACTTTTTCCTGCTTGGGGTAGCAAGAAAAAAAAGTAAAAAAGGGTTATTATTCTAAGTTGAAAAAGTGCTAAGTGTCCTCCTCCTCTTTAAGTTTCGGGCTTAGTCTAAGAGAGGTGTGAGGCTTATAAAGGTTATCTCCTAAACTTATGAAAATGATAAAGAGCTGTAAGAGGGTAGTTGATCTTCGTCTGTTGAAAAAATATTGTTAGTGAACGCTAGTGGCCTTGATGGAAGAGGAATCGGGAGTGGACATTGATCACGATGACAGAACCATTATAAAACTCAATTTACATTTCTATTATGCTTTTCATTCATATTGCTAACTGATTTACTTGCTTACTATACTCATTACTCTTATAAAAGTTTTCAAGTAAAATATTTTTTCGATACGAGCTATCGAACGAAATTTTTGAATCATTAGAAGTTCTAAGAAAGCACTAATTGAAAGCCATGTTGCTCTCCATTAGTTTAACACTCAAGAGAGATATTTTTTCCGATAATTCCGATAATCTAGAGGGTCACTCTATCATTTATCCTCCTATGCTCAATGGGATGAACTATACTTATTGGAAAACTCGAATGAGAGTTTTCTTGCTTTCTATGGATTTGAATTTATGGAATATTGTTGAAAGTGGTTTTCAAAAGTCTTCTAAACTAATGAACGAATGAAATGATTTGAAGAAGAAAACTTTTTCTTTGAATGCCAAAGTGATGAACGCTTTGTTTTGTACTCTAGATAAAAATGAATTTATTCAGGATTCTATATGCGAAACTACGTATGATATTTGACATATACTCAAAATTACATATGAAGGCACAAATAGAGTTAAAGAGTAAAAAATTAATCTTTTAATGCATAGTTTTGAATTATTTCGAATGGAACCAAGTGAATCCATTGAAGACATATATACCCGTTTTATGGATATCATCAATGTTTTGAAAGAACTTGGTAAAAGTTTTTCTAATTTTGAACTTGTTAACAAAATACTAAGTTCCTTACAAAAAGTTGGGATCCGAAAGTGACAACAATACAAGAGACAAAGGACTTGAACAATTTCTCTCTTGAAGAACTTATTGGGTCTTTAATGACCTATGAAATAACTTGTATCCAACATGATAAACATGAGAATAACCTTCCAAAGAACAGAAATGATTTGACATTTAGAATAAAAGAAGACCACTTGAGAAAAAACTAAGTGATGATGATAATGACCTTAAACTCCTCACAATAAAATTTAAGAAGTTCATAAAACAAGAATCTAAGAATAAAAATAGACTTGAAAAGAATAAAATAGCTTCCTATGAATGCAATCGGCCGGAGCACTTCAAAAGCAAATGTTCGCAACTAAAGAAGAAGGTGCTCACACAAAAGAAGAAGAAAACACTCAAGGCGACATGAGATAAAATGAGTACATCTGAAAACGAGGTAAGTGACTCAACCAAAACCCCTTTACTTTATTATAAAATTACTTGATGCATTTCATGAGTTATTTTTAAATTAATAAGAAATATTTAAAAAAAAGGGGGATCATTCTTCTCTTTCTAGTGATTTAAAAAATTAAAAAAATTTGAGCATGCAAATTGCATGTTAACTCCTTGCACTAAGTATAAAGAGTTAGATTCACTTGAAGAAGAAAAATGTATTACTATAACAAACAATAATAAAGGAAAGATCATGATTGAAACTTGATGATTTTTTATTGAAGATGGTTTATAGTTACACAAACAATAATCTATTGATCTTGATAATTTCTGTATTGTTTTTCGATTTTAAATGATGATGC